AAAGCGTCTGCCAAATGCATAAACATAAACATAAACATAAACATAAACATGAGAAGCACCAGATCTGTAAGTCGCTTTGGATAAAAGCATCTGCCAAATGCATAAACATAAACATAAACATAAACATAAACATGAACATAAACATAAACATAAACATAAACATGAGAAGCACCAGATCTGTAAGTCGCTTTGGATAAAAGCGTCTGCCAAATGCATAAACATAAACATAAACATAAACATAAACATAAACATGAGGAGCACCAGATCTTCTCTGACCTGTCCTTAAACGCCTCTCAGTGCTCCTCATCACTTCAACTCCGAGGCCTTCCTGGAGGGGCGTGCCCTCATCACCGAAGGCATGGGCGCCATCAAGGCAAACGTCGGCAAGGAAAACTTCAAGGCAGCCAGAGAAACACTGGGCAGGATCCTCCACACGCTGCAGGTGGGAAACGAGTGATAAAAACTATTTCCAAAGCACAACCCAAACGGGTCGCACAGGCCGAGGTTTGGCTAAGGAGTAAAGTCAAGAAATGACTCTTAAGCGAGTCGGAACAACTTCCCTAAGAGATTTTTTATTACATATAGTCAAGAACAAAAGAATTTACTATGTTATTTACAACATGAGGCAAAATACTCGTGACAAAAATGTGAAAGTAGGGAAAGTAGTCCAATCTCTAACTCTAGTTTAAATTAACAAGGGAAAGACAGGAAGTGTCCTTAATTGGGAATGCAATGCAATAGATGGAAAATCTGCCACATAAAGGTAATTTGTAACTATGAATGAAAGCGGACCATGAAGACAAATTCAAATAAAGAAATCAATCAAACAGTAACTGAGATTTTTTATTACTTATAGTCAAGAGCATTGACAAAAATCTGTTCGTGGAGATATTTTTCTGTGTTTTACAATATAAGAAAAAATACTCGTGACTATTTACAGGAATTTCACAAAAATTTTAAAATAGGGAAAGTAGTCCTATCTCTAACTCTAGTTTAAATTAACAAAGGAAAGACGGGAAGTGTCCTTAATTGGGAATGCAATGCAATAGATGAAAGGTCTGTCACATAAAGGTAATTTGTAAATAAGAATGAAAGCGAACCTCTAAAACAAATTCAAATAAAGAAATCAATCAAACAGTAACTGAGATTTTTTATTACATATAGTCAAGAGCATTGACAAAAATCTGTTTGTGGAGCTATTTTTTTGTGTTTTACAATACAAGGCAAAATACTTGTGACTATTTACAGGAATTTTACAATAATGTGAAAATATGGAAAGTAGTCCTATCTCTAACTCTAGTTTAAATTAACAAAGGAAAAACAGGAAGTGTCCTTAATTGGGAATGCAATGCAATAGATGGAAAATCTGCCACATAAAGGTCATTTGTAAATATGAATGAAAGCGAACCGTGAAAACAAATTCAAATAAAGAAATCAATCAAACAGTAACTGAGATTTTTTATTACATATAGTCAAGAGCATTGACAAAAGTATGTTCGTGGAGATATTTTTTTCTGTTTTACAATATATGGCAAAATACTTGTTACTGTTTACAGGAATTTCACAAAAATTTGAAAATAGGGAAAGTAGTCCTATCTCTAACTCTAGTTTAAATTAACAACGGAAAGACAGGAAGTGTCCTTAATTGGGAATGCAATGCATTAGATTAAAGGTCTGCCACATAAAGGTCATTTGTAAATAAGAATGAAAGTGGACAAATTCAAATGAAGAAATCCATCAAACAGCAACTGTGTGCAAACCTCTGGTTCCAGAGAAAATGTTTGAAATGAGAGCTTTTATGAGCCTGTGTTCCAAAGGCTGAGCAGTGCCTCGTATCTGTGACTCACGATGTGTTTACGTGCTTTATCAGGACTTCTACAGCCACAGTAACTGGGCGGAGATCGGCCACACGGAGCCGTACGCAGACCTGCTGCGTCCAGACCGGCCTCTGGAAAACATCGCAGGTGGGCAGTGGTGGAGAAAGTACTCATACAATGTACTTACTAGGGGTGGGACAGTTCACAAAATCCACGGTTCGGTTCGATTCACGGTTTCGTGGTCACGGTTTTGGGTTGGGTTCGGTATATGTTGATTGTTAGGAAAATCTATTATGTCTTGTATAGTCAGTGTTGGGTAAGTTACTTTAAAAATGTAATCCGTTACAGTTACAAGTTACCTTGTTTAAAATGTAATTGTAGTGTAACTTTTTCGATTACTTAAAAAAAGTAATGTAACTAATTACTTTTGATTACTTTTTGATTACTTGAAGGTTTTAATGAGTATTAACCCATGATTAATTTTAGCATATTATTATTAGCTATTGGCCGCAGCTAGCAGTTCAAGGCTAACGTCTTGTTAATGATCATAAACAACGTAAATAAATACATAAATAAATCGTAGACAAGTCAGTCGTATCCGGATACAACATTTTAGTATCTATACTTTTTTAAGTATCGATACTTTTGACAACCCTAGTCTGAAATGTAGGACATGACCGGGGAAAAAAAGGACGTCTGGTCACCCTACAGTTGGCTAGGCTAGGTAGGCTAGGCTAGGCTAGGTCATAGACATTGATAAACGTTTGTCATGCATCAACACCAAATAGTCAAATATTAGTAAATCAATACGCTTCGTCTATCAGTGAGTTGCATATTTTGCAAAGGTTTCTCTTTATATTTAAAAAAAAATGTAACTAAATTTGTAATTCTTAATATTTTCAGAAGTAACTGTAACTGAATTACATATTTTCTCATTGTAACTGTAATGAATTACAGTTACTCTTTTTTT